CGGTGGTGGCGGCGGTGGTGGCGGTGGTGGTGGCGGCGGTGGCGGTGGTGGCGGTGGCGGCGGTGGCGGCGGTGGCGGTGGTGGCGGCGGTGGCGGTGGCCGCTTCCATGCAGGACCCTCGCCACTGGATGGCGTTAAATACAACATTTCCTGCAAGGTCTCCATAGTCACACACGGTAAGTGTTCACCGCTTTTTTGGCCTTCCTTCCTTTGGCGCACCGCACCGCACTACACCGCATGGACTGCACCGCGTCTATATGTGTCAGCGCATCACTCAAACATACTAAGCCACACTACGTCGGACTCGTGCCGCCCAGCCGGGGGACTACGGCCCCCTCGCGGGCGAAGCAGCCCGCGTCTAGTGGTGTATGATAACTTCTGCGACATTCTTCGCTATAGTCTAGGCGGTTAGGATACGAGATTCTCACTCTCGAGACCCGGGTTCGAGTCCCGGTAGCGAAAGAGTGGCGGAGCGGGATGCGGCTATCCTGTCTCTGCAATGAGTGCCTCCGTCGACATCGTATAGTGGTCAGTATCCCCGCCTGTCATGACATCATCCAATCATGGATCGCGGGAGGCCGGGGTTCGATTCCCCGTGTCGGCGAAATAATATGCTCATGCGACGTACCGTTACCAACATACCTTCCGTTAAAGAACTTGTATGTATGTACATGCTTGATGTTCATATCGAACATCATTTTTTAACACTCGAAGAAAGTCGAGCAAATTGCACGGCAGGGATGCATGAAGGTCTGTTGCGTTTTGGTGTACACAAACGTTATCGGCTGGGTGCACGTGCACAGCATGACGAGGTGGCCGAGCGGTCTAAGGCGCTAGATTCAGGACTACCTGGTTCAGACCAGGATGAGAAATTTCTAGTCCGTAAGGGCGTGGGTTCAAATCCCACCCTCGTCAGCCAGGAAGAGTGCGGAGGGGGACGTCTTGCACTCAAATCTTATTATCAATGTGTGGTGGAGACCGCTCGGTAAATACACACATCTCCTT